TGGGATAATGGGATTCTCCAAATCAAAATAATACGTCTCGAGAATATTCAAAAGTGAAAAGAAATCGTTGGTAGCAGATTATTTATGTAGTTTGAAAACCAAATATATTTCGGTTAGACTGAAGGTTAGGATAGGTCCCAGCAATCTATGCTTGCTAGAGTCTACTTAGTGGATTGGGTAGTCAGAATGTGTCACGTGGTTGATAACATGTCATCATGGCCCTACGGCATGCAAGGCTGATCATAATATTAATCACTGGATTGTCTGGTCCTTAATCAATCATTACAGATCACCCCCATAGAGCTGCAATATTGCGGCGTTAAACGACAAACATATTGACAGTTGTAAGAGATGACGAAAACAGAGGTGGAATAATTAGGCTCTGTGTATATTTCTACCATTTGGTATTTTGCAAATTCGACAAATAACCAATTTCTATCTGTTTGGACACGTCTTAGAATTTCTAGTTGGTAAGGTACTATGTGTGCGGATGGCTTCATATTGCCGTACGGTCATGTAGCTGTGACCTTTATGTAATCCATGACGTTATAAACGCCACATACGCAAGACAATCGGATCAACTTGGCTGATCCTCAGAAAACGTCGGCGACGTCTTAACTACAAAAGGAGGCGTATGTTTTGCTGCTAGTTAAATCACGGACCGTGTGACAGGATTTGATGGTAGGTCGTTAATCAACATACTATTGCATTTATATTACGTCGTATTAGATGTCTGTGTGATAGAAAGTCCAAAGGCTTGTGAATACAAATACTTCAAAGGAGATATACATTTTCTAGGAGATATACATTTTCTAGTTACGAAAACGACGAACACAAAATGCATTGGATCACATTTACCCTGTCGGAATTCTTGGTTAGGTCCCCATTCTTGTCGTACGAATATTGGCTGACAGGACCTGAGCCTAACTGTGGTGGACTGGGTAGATTGAGTTGGTTACCAATTACTTTTCAACATAGTCCCCTCCGAGGTCCACACATTTCTGCCATCGAAGCTGGAGTACCTGGATCCCACTGGTGTGGATAGAAATCCTCCTCCTCCTTATTTGCATAATGCTTGCCAGATAGTTCTTTCTTCAAGTTTTGGAAGAGGTGGAATTCTGAGACCTTGGTAATGCCCAGTACATTCCTCAGAATGTTCTCAACACTCTCATGAGAGAGTTAACCTGTTGAGTTGGAGATACTTGATGACAGCGCCGTAGTCACTTTCGTCCATTTTAATCGACAGAGAATACCTAGTCACTTTGATGCCCACGGACATATGGGGCCTGGTTTGTTGTGTATTTGTGTATTTGTTTGTTGTGTATTGTTTGTTGTGTATTTGTTTGTTGTTTACTTGTTTGTTGTGTATTTGTTTTCTAAACTGCCTGTAAGCATGGACAGTATTGTACTTAATACAAGCAACGGTTAACGGTGTACTGTATATCCTTCGTGGAACTTTCCAGCCACCCCTCGAAGATGAGACTTAAAGTGAAGTGAGTGGTCACGCACTTGCATTTCAATTTATTTTATTTTTAAAATAAACAAAAATAACTATGTGTAAAAGAAATCCTGTAACACTGTGGGCCAACCCTGAAAATCCAATGGTTCCTCCCTAAAATACAAGAAGAAGAAGAAGAATACATATCAGTAATGGTGGGATTATTTACCACAAATTTATCAGTGAAGAGCTTAAGATAAGTGGGGGCTTCAGTTAAACATTCGATAATCCCTCCACAATTCAGTTCACTCAGGTATGCATAAGACAGAGTGCAGCGGGGACGGGATGCGTCCGTAAAATCTGAAACTTCGCCAGGCGAGTTTATTGCTTTTTTCACAATCTCATTAAAAGCAGATCTCTACCGCAAAACAAAGACTTTTGTATAGCGGTCGCGAGAACTATGATCTGATTTTTATGAGACTGTTTTTTTTCATAAATGTTAAGTAATGTGTTTTCTTGTTTCTTTTACGCCATAAAATAGACTTACCATCTATTTCGTTGAATATATTCCAGACCACCGAAGTCGTATATTTAACGCCAACTGTAGGAACGACATCCTACTTCACCACATCAAATCTTGCTGCGACTGCGGAGACAGTGGTAAGCTTATATCCTAAATATATTTCAGTAAGTTTGTTTGTTTGTTGTTGAACGCCTCACTTGACAATATTCCAGCTATATCACGGCTGTCTGTAAAAAAACCGAGTCTAGACCAGGCAAACCAGTGATTGATATCATAAGCAACGTCCCACGCCGTCAGGGTAAAATGACAAAGCAGATGTTGTTGGGGAATCCCCACGAACAGCAATCATGACATAGTCAAACGAAGACAGAATGCTAGAATGGGCTAGAATAGGTCTTCATCAACCCATGCTTGCTGCAACAAGCGACTATGCTTGTCGTAAGAGGCGACTAACGGGATCGGGTGGTCAGGCTCATTGACTTCGTTGATGCATGTCATCGTATCCCAATTGCGTGGATCGATGCTCATGGTATCAGTCACTGGATTGTCTGGTTCAGACTCAATTATTTACAGACCGCCGTCATATAGCTGGAATATTGCTGAGTGCGGCGTTAAACAACAAACAAACAAAAGAAGGCATTCTTGTCCTTATCTGGTGCATGAACATATACACCGTCCCATTTCTTTCCAGATATAATAGACTTGTCTGATGAAAAAGGACGGGTTAAAAACCTACGAAATAATCTAAACGATTATGGAACGGATTACCTAAAGAGAAGAGAATCTCTCATTTTACTCAGAGTTGATCGTGAGTATATATTTGAATCTGTGTCTAAAGTGGGAGTCAGTTGGGTTTTACGTCAATGTGAACTGTATTTCAGTTATATAATTGTGTGTTAGCTCAGTGTGTCCAAAAAGATGGTATATGAGCAGATAGCTGAAATATTCATCGAGTACTCATACAGCATTTTAGCAGTATCGGTAATGAGACGGATAAGCACTTGAAAACATGACGACATGTATTCCTTTTGTCGTTATTTTTCCCGAGTGCTTTTTCCACGTTGTCCGAGTGGTTGGTTGTCGGTTCCTAGTGCTTTGTCATCTTCTTTCCGACCGATTGGTCGTCGTTTTCCCGAGTGTTTTGTCGTCTTCTTACTGACATCTTCCCGAGGCAAGTGATACGAGAGGTGGAATCTCATTGGTCCATAGGAGAGGCTTAGCGGGGACATAACTGGTGATAGCCACTGGTGGCGCTATGATCGAGCCCAGTAATTCTAGCCTAGTTCGGCAGGGGTGGAAACTGGACTTTTAAACTCAGTTTACTCTCTTGCTTCGGGAAGATGTCTTACTGAGTGCTTGGTCATCGTTTTCCCGAGTGCTTGTTCGTCGTTTTTCCGTGTGCATAACGGTATTTCAGTTGCATTGTATATCAATAGTGTGACAACACAATGTAGGAGGAAGGTTTACCATTCACATTAGCACGGGTAAGGCGATGGAGCAAGTGAGGGAGTTTGTTTTTACGACACTTGCATGACGAGCGAACACCTTATCCACTAGGCTACCTCTCAGACCCGGTTAGGTACTGAAGGACAATCGATCATATTAATAGAAAGCTGGGATTCAAACCCGCCATCCTCTGATACAGTGCACTGGAGCGTATCTTGATGGACCGATACCTGTCGTAACAGTACTGTTGTCAGCACACGCAAAGAAGGGCGGTCGAGTAGCCTAATGGTAAAAGCGTTCGCTCGTCCCACCGAAGACCCGGGTTCGATTCCCGACGTCACAATCAAATGACATCACTTATGGCTCTGCTACTGAAGCTGTTAGCAGTTCTTTTTACACTTAAGACACTGCTTATTACTGTCTACAAACTGAAAAAGTTGGAAGAATGATGTTGGATGACAAATAAAATCTCACACGAGTGTCTTTTGATATCAAATATATATCAACATGAGTTGATGAATGTCGAAAACCTCCTCGGCAAGCCTCAGTTTTTCCACTTTTATCCACTCATGTTGATATATATTTGATATCAAAAGACACTCGGGGGAGATTCTCTATGTCATCGGTATGTGTCACGATGTATGAAAGATGGTACTTGTTGTTACCCTGCCTGGCGCTCGGCATGAATGGGATCAAACAAGGACTGGTCGGCTCGGAGTCGGTATACTGTGTCTGAGTGGGGTATTCATGTTAAACTGCAAAACAGCATATCAGTGAGCTGGCACTGTAAAACCGGCATTAGTGTAAGCAGACACACACACGCATGCACGCACACGTGCGTGCACGTGGCTATAAAGTGCAATAATCTTGAAAGCGTCGTTAAACCCATTTCACCTCACCTGTCATCTAACCTCACCTACTCTGTATGTTACTGTGATTATTTTGGATAATGGGAGGAGATTTATAGTCGGATTCTGTTTGACAGATTTAAAAAAAAAGGATTTAGTCCACCATTCTGTCATACTGATGTGGATTTTCTACCTGTTTATAGACTCAAAAGGAGAAGACAACCAAGAGAGCTTGAAGTTTATCCCGCTGCTAGCAGGTCTCAAAGGAAACAGAGAGTTTACAGGTAAAGTCAACCAATGTTGTTAAAAGCCACAGTCAGCAATATCCAAGCTGTTTCACGGCGATCTGTAAAAAGCATCGTGACACTGGGTCACACATAGTGACCATCCGATCCTCGTCGTAGTCGGCTCTTGCTATAAGCATGGGTCCATGGGGACGTATTCTGACCCGGGCTCCAGGTGAAGCAGGCGGATGACAAGCTAGTGTTGAGAGACACTGTCACGAGTAAGTAAGTGAGTTGCGTTTACGCCGCTTTTAGCAATAACCCAGCAATATCACGGCGGGGACACCAGAATGGGGCTTCACGCGTTGTATCCATGTGAGGAATCGAATCCGGGCTACTGGCGTGACGAGCGAACGCTTTAACCACTATGCTACCCCACCGTGCTTCTTGTCGATGAGTTGACCTAACTTGGTCATGTTTCATATATTCCATAAACTAAACTAAGTGTTAATGTTATTACTGCACAGTGTATACATAATGAATACGTAAATAAAATAAAAAATCGCTTGTGGAATGCCTTTTGACGTTGGCTTTGAATCGTATTCATTTTTATCACGACATGAAAGTTTCATACATGATAAGCCCAACGTGAAAGCCAAGAATACGGGTATTGTACTGACGAACCAAGAATCTAGGGTTCTATGCCACAACCAGCTGACCCTTCTCGCAAGGGACCTTCTAACTCTGTCGTGTGCTTCGTGGAACATTGCGCAGACGTACAAATTAGATAGAACTACTCTAAGTCTGTTGAGGTAAAATGTTATGACGCATGATTGCATGTTACACAATACTGACAGGTCCCTGTTTGTTAATGATGGTATTATACTCACCACCAAAAGAAACGCGAACCATAGAAACACATAGAGAAGTATATACGTTAAGGAGAGATGTTTTCCAATGTGTATAATTACTGACAAAACTAACAGTCAAGTGTTATCACAAAGTGACTTTTCTCTTATTACGATATGCTGCACGTGATTTCCAAACTTTACTCGCGAGTCATCGATGACGTCACATGTGATGCGTTCATGAGCGTCGGTTCTCACAACATACCAGTATGTTCGCTTGTGTGTCGAACCAATCTAATATATCTTGAATGTAAGTAAGTCTTCATATATTAACCAACATATTTGGCATTGGTGTTTCTTAGGGCGGTAAGTAAATAATGAGAAACTTCAATATTTTCAGAAGCACTTAATCCCATTCGAGAAGAGACGGCTTCAAGTGGCACCACAAACACACAACCAAGCAAGACCAGACGAAGATCTTCCATCGTGGACTTCAACCTAGAAGATCTGAAAAACGGGAAGACAAAAACAAAATCTAATAGTTCTAGTGCGTCTAGGAAGTCAATATCACGACGTTCCACAACGCGGACATTAATCAAATCCAAGTAGCACTGTCCCAAACGGCAGACCTAGTTGTTTCCACGGAGACGGTTACTTCCGGTCAGACGAGCACGATGAGTGTACCCGACGTTCACTCGGTCATGACATGGTAAACATTTCGGAAAAGAAGCACAATTTCATATCATTGTGTATGTTTGATCGGGGGGTGATATTTCGACGTTTCAGAGACCACATAATGATAATTGAGTGATTGATTTGGTTTGGTGAGTAAAAATAGATAATTTTTAATCCAGTTGGAGACAGTTGAAACGCTAGTCCATATGTGTGATTGGCTGGTTGAAAGAGGTAAAGGTAGTCCCATGTTCTATATATCACAGCCATGTGTTAATCATGTTTCGAACCTTTCCCTATACACTCCATTAGCCTTAGGCGTGTCAGAAACCTTTGATCGTGGGTCCGATTCCCGGTTGATCAGATCATGTTTCTATGTTTGTCAGTACCATACCCGTGTTCGTGGGTTTCACCAAAGAGGTAAACGTCTGTGATATGCATCACTTCGGGCTTTCCTACAAGAATAGGTCCCCGGAACGCTGTTTGGTGAGTGAGTGAGAGTGTTGGGTTTAACGCCTCTTTGAACATTGTAACAGTTATATCACGGCGTGTCAGCCTAATGTTTAGGGAATGTCTCTATGGCATGTCGTAAGAGGCGACTGAATTCGATCTGGTAGTCAGGCTGACTTACTTAGGTGACTGCATGTAATCGTGTAATGGCGGCATGACCAATCTTTCAATCACTGGTGAGCCTGTTCCAGACTGGCTTATGTGCAGGTCGCCGTGATATGGCCGGATTAATTCTGACTGATACGTAAAACAAACAAACAATGAAAACAAGATACTAAATCACATGTCAGCATTTGTTTCTTGTTTTGTTTCACATTTGATGCATTAATAAAGAAACAAATTGTCAGACTCGTCGTATTTTGCAATTTCCAACATCTTCCTAAAGCAAGGGAGTTAACTGACTTTAAAAGTCCAGTTTCCACCCTTACCAAACTATGCTGGAATTCTGGAGTTACATTTTGATTGGACTATCGAGTCTATGCTCAGTCAAATCAAAATCGGGCAATGAACGGGACATTCGGTTTGTAAACAACATGGATTTAACGTGCAGATTTCGATCGACTGCAGGATTTGCAAAGCATGTGTAACGTCATCTCGGCGTCGACAAATGTTTTGCAAATCTGTTCATGTTTTTTTATCAAGGTACTCAAATGATTTGATGCACTTCACGAGGTTAGGCCCATTTTATTACAAAATAGATGTTGATCACAATCAGATCGTCTTGACTGGGCGCCGCCATGTTGTTTTAAGCAAATGCAAGGGATCATTCGTCACCAGTCATCCCCCTATCAATGAATGTCATGTGCGAAAATACGACAAACCAATCAAAGTGCGCGTACGACAAAGAATCCCTCAGGAATAGTTTTTGAATTTACATATATCTTGCATCTAAAAATATACCCAAGATACAGTTTTTTTTGTTCAATCATGCTGCATAATACCGCATTACCCGGTGTGCGGGGTTGGGAATTCTTTTAGCTATGCCCGTTTT